ATTTAGAGAAAATTGATAGATATGAGAAATGGGTCTTATATTTAAGACCAAAATCAACTCAAGAATTGGATCCTATATTAAGGACCGGAGGAGTATTTATTATAATTAACTAACTTACCTAACTTTCTTAATCTAATCAAATTAGTTAAATAGGTCTTATATTAATGACTAAAGGAATATAATTTAATGCTAAACTAGCTATTATGTTAAGCATCTTTGGACATTTTCTATGTTAATGAGATTTAATCAATTTATTGCCTCCAAGGAGTTGTAAGCAAGTTAATGTGAACTTTGAAAACCGGTTGATGTATTGCCCCCCCGGGGGGGGTGACATTAAATAATAAATATTCCCCTAATTTTATATATAAAAACACAAAACAATTAAATCATGTAAAGAATGAGTAGGGAAAACAGTATGATTAATGCACAAATATAATATCATGTAATCAGTGGGGGCAAAAAAAAGGGTTAAAATTTTAAAAATCTTTTAATTATCTCATAAATAGAATTATTTTTATCCAAAAAATATACCTTTATATATGTGTGTGTGATAGGAGGGAGTATGTTACGAATGACTGCTGGCATAAAAAAAATGTTACTAATGACTAATAAAGAAATATTCCTGAGTGTCGGCAGAAGACCAAATTAAATGCTGACCGCTACCGATACTTGATAACTACCACGGCAATACTAATTTAATACTCATTTAATTTAATTTAAAATTTTAATTAGGTTTTTTAACTTTAAAAGATATATTTTTAATCTTTTAATCTTAAAAATATTAACAAAAATGATAATATTGATATCTTAAATATCAATAAAAATTTTCAGATACTCACATATTAAGTTTAATTTTAAAATAATTATAATTATTACAAAACATCATCATTTAAGCATATTGATTTTAGAGTCAAAATACCAAACGTATATTTTAACCTAATATTTTATTTAAAAGAAGACAATAATGTATCTCGCAGTTGACATTGACTATTAGCCAAGTCTTTACTAAATTAATTTCAAATTTGAAAAAAGTTCCTTGCACTAATAATCTACAAATATTATATTACATACAAATATATGTACTCCGTGGAAATAGGTCCGTAGGTTCTGACCCAAAAAAAAAAAAAAAACAAAGTTCCGCGGGTCATGTGTCTCGTGTTGTTAAACTCTATAATTTCTTCAGCTATTTCTTTAACTCAAATCTGTAAGATTTTTTTTTTTATTACGAGCACTTAATAATATTCGAAGCTAACTTAGCACTGGAGGTAGTATTACTTGTACTAAACTCTAAATAGAAGGAATACTACAGAATGGTTTGAGGCTAATTTATTAAAGGATTCAAGAATCACTAATCTTTTCAAATAATGAATCTTCTAGATGTTTCATGTCAATATCAATCATAAAATTCTACCATGGCCATCATTGTTTGGCAGTGGAAGTGTACTGTGTTTAGTCGTTGCAATTTAGTGGGCCAAAATTACTGGGTCCTACATGTGTTGATAAATAGTGGTTTCTGATAATTTGATCACAGATATTCTTAAAATACTTGTCGCTAAAGTTTCCAGGAATCTTTTTTTTTTTTGGGGGGGGGGGGACAGAGAGAGAATCGTCACAGAACTTACATGATGGAAATAAGTCTCATCTCTTTTCTTTTTCTTTTTTTGTAGCAAATTTTCTAAAACTCTGATGCGTGACGTGAACGAGTCATAATATTCAGCTTTTGCTAAAAAAAAAAAAAGCCATAAAATCATTAGCCTAATCTGAATTAATACAAACATAAAATTATAACGAATCACAATGTACATTAATCACTAGTTGTAGATTTTTTTTGACCGGGCACTAGTTGTAGATAATATGGTTGGTTTTTCAAAAATTTCACTTAAGTTGGGTAAATTTCCTTCTTTACTCTAAATCTAGATATTGATACAGTCCCACTTTTTCCAGCATAATAGACAAAGTCCTCAGGTCACGTGCAGAAGAAAAGGAACATGATTATGTCTATTGCTATATTAAATTGCACTATCTGTTAAGTCTAAAGCAAAGTTTAAATAGCCTTACCGAATACTGGGAAAAGAAAAAGGGGAAAGGAAAGAAGACTAGATCGCAAGTATTTAAATGAAACAGATACTGTGTGGGATGACAATGAAAGGATATTCTAGGACCATGATTCAAGGTGCTTTAACTAAAATATTATCTGTAGATTAAACAGAGACATTAATCAATCCAGACAAATCCGCTTCTCTCTTTCAGCCTAAAAAGTAAAGCCTAGGAGCTAGTCTATGATCTGTGTCTGAAAAGAATCTTTCTTGAATTATTAACATTTAATCTTGTTTATACTAAAATTATATGTTATCCTCGCTTTAAATAATTGAATTACGATCACCATTGACACGATGTTATTTACAACTAAATAATCAAGCAAAAGGAACAGATAATTGTTTTCAAGTGGGTCTAATCGGTTTTAACACTCACTTTAATGAATTTTCATCGCTTTTCTTAGGCAATCAGATGATAAGGCATAGATGATTGGCAGCCTGTTTGCTGGAGAAGCATGGGAAGTTTCCTTCCTATTTTACTACGACGAACCATTGCCATAAGCTAAATTCTCCATTTTTTTTAATTCTGTATTACTATAATTTATCACTCAGCAGAGTCAAATATTTACCTCAGAGTTGCTTGCATACACAATTAGGGCTAGCGAATGAGAAATAGAGTTCATGAGATTTAATGACAACCTATGGATGAATTAATTACAAGGGCCTAAATGTAATACAGCAGGTATAGGAAAAAATACTCGTCAGTTGTCCTTGCCAGAGGCTGCCTCTGGAAGTTTGAATGTCGGAGGCTTGTCAACGCCCCTCCTTGAGTACTCCCTCCATCTTCGTGCGGCTGCTGCAGCTCTCTTCTCTCTCTCTTTCACTTCCTCCTCTGGAAGAAATGATCATTTTGAAGAATAAGTAGCAAAAATTTAGATGGCCATGTTAAGGTAAATGGTCAAGCACTTCTACTACAAACCGACATAACATGTTTAGTGCTTCTTAGCTACTGAGCCTTAGAAAACATTATCGATCCTCAACAATAATGAAATCCTAATACAAGGTTATAAATCTTCGTACCTGAATTTTGGTAGTCTTTTGTTTTGCCCCAAAGGTTGTCCCAGTAAGAATCTGTCTTACCAGAACCTTTCTGCTTCATCATTCTCATTTTTGCTTGTTCCTGGGACCCACACATCACTGTTTAGTTATGATAGCAACTATGAGGAACTTTGAAAAATTGTTCTCTAGTAATTTTGCAACTGTTGCATTATCAGAACGGTAGAGCTATCCGTTCCTCTTGGAAGAATAGTGTACTTGACTACGCTGGAAATGCACATTATTCACCATTTTTATCAAAGCCTACAAGAATCTATTCAAATATATCATCTGCTAAATCACTAAGTTACCCATATGCTTGAGTTTAAAGAACCAGCAAGTTGAGGGTACTGACTAATTGTGGTGCAATTCGGGATAAACACATTAAAGCTGAATTAGATTCTAGAATAATTCTTACCAACACTTTTCCCTGCCTCTTTTCCCACCTGGAGCTTGCCTGAAATTAACAAGCATAGCTCACAATAGGTCAAAAAAAGAAAAAAAAAATATTGAAGGATTTTTTCATACAGTGAACTTGAAACATCAGAAGCATAAACTCAATATGATGAAACCATAAAAATGATACTAGCAGTTTGAATGTCCAAAAGCTTGTCTCTCAAATTCATGTTATGATAACCATTCAAGAATTCTTTCAGGAGTCCAGATAAAAGTTCAAAATTCTAGGTATTTCAACCAGAAAAAATAAAATGCATAATTGTGGAGACTGGAATGTTATTTGAGATTAGGAAAACCATCCCAACCTTCAAAATGCCCACCAAGTGTCGATGGAAAATTGGAAGAAAGTCTATGAGGATTTAGAAGTGGATAAACCAATAGCCAATACAGTATCGTACCATTCTAAAAACATCAATTGATGATCCCATTCCTGAAAGCATCAGAGCAACCTGTTCATAACTAAAAGAGTCAGTAAATATGGAGTAGTATATAAAAAAGCTCAATGAGATAGCATAAATTCACATGTCCGGATCCCATTCATTATGATGTCGTGTCAATAAATAAAATTAGCTACTAGCTTTCAGCTGATTGAAGAAGCCCACTTCTCATATGCCTATGGCAATTATTTTTCCGCTCAAATTGCTAATTAATTTTGTTCAACTCCTATGTTGTCTGGCTTTCCTTCTTCTACTTAGAATGACGCTTCTAATTTGGAGAGTTAGAGATCAACAGTGTAAAAATGAGGGAGGCTAAATATTTCAAAGTTATGTGCCTTGAAGAAGATTATGAAGGTTAATTTACGAACTGCTCTTTCATGAAGATTATCCTACACTTATCAGTTGCCAAAAATAGAGAGGGAACAGAGACTATAAGTCAAGGAGGTGATGAAATGATTATAAAGTAATGGAGAAAGTACAAAAAACTGGAATAGATAGACTTTGTGATCAGGGTCTTACGTTGACTCTTTCTACCCGCCGCATTTCATCCTCAAGTAGTGATAGTTGTGACGCAGATGTCCAATGAATACAGTCAACAGGGCTGACAGACAGAATCATATTGTAAGATTGATTTGTTATAGCCAAATTGCGAGTCACTTCAAAAGCAATTCAACTTTTGTAGCTGAAGTCCTAAAGCTCACATATCAAACAGCAGCAACAAGATAAAACTTCAGTAAAAAGATAATTTCTACATTGATCTATGATAAACAAACAAGTGTAACACTGGCCGGGGTTTGCCAGACCCCACTATATACGCATTTTATCAGATTTCAACTATTACAAGTTTTTCAGTTCCAGGATATTTGACATCACAACCTTGGATCTCAACAAAAAGGCTCAAACTCTGTGAAGCCTCAGGCTTGACAAATTTATTAGATTTGTTCGTCTGAACTAGAACATATGAAGAAAAGAAACATAACCATCATATGGACCAAGTTATGAGCTTATTCAGATGGGTTTTCGACTTGGAACCTTGAATCAAGCTCACTTGAACTTACCACAGTCTGATTCCTTATACTTCTTTGCAGTTGAATCATGAATAGGTCCTTGATTTCATAAAGCTCAATTTATCATCTTAGTAATTCTGTAACACTATAATAACTAATGAGTTACCACTATTTTAACATGATACCCAAATACATTCGTTGATTAAGATGATTTTAACCTTAATCATACAATAGTAAAACTGGAGGAAAGGCAATGAATTTACTTCATGAAATGATACTAGTAATTTGGAAGACAATGTCAACTTTCAGAACCCATCCCTTTCCGTAAAATTATTGATAATCAATTAGATAATACATGTTTACCATACGAAGCAGAAAAACTAAGATCACAATCAGAAATGCACCTGGCATACAGACTGGCGTTAAAGTAAAATTTAAAATTATCTTTCAAAGAAAAACCTGGTTATAATCAATATTCGGCCAACAGTTTAAGCAGGGTTTATTCAGGATTTCATCATTCTATATCATCTTAGAGCAAGCACAACTGTAAATAAACTTACCAACTTTCAATTGCTTGCTGAACTAATTCAGTTTTTCCACACTGGCTATATGCTCTGGCTCTTCCATAGTCTTCCTCTATTGCAAACACATCAGAGGCCACATTGGCGCAATTTTTGCAACCTGTATAAGAATTTTCAGAGTAATTACATGATAAGATTTGTCACTGTTCAAGACTTCAACTCAAACGTGAAAAACATCTAATAAAGTCAAACAAAGAATGACTATATTAGTAAACTTGTACATTCAAGAAAGTTATTCTTTCAAAGGGCAATAAATAACAGCCAATTGATTTCTTTCGAAGATGTGGAGGGCGTTAATATGTTTGTTAGGGGTATTCAACTATTCATAATAACCAATTATAAGCTTTTACGTAACACCTTCAACTTTTTGAGAGAATTAGTCCTTGACATGATATCAAAACCTCTACAACCCCAGTGGTTAGAGTGCTGATGCTCAATGTCCAATTCATTTACTTAAAATTAAGTTTCAGCACAAAGTATGGTAAGTTTCTACTTAGTCGATGCTTCAAGATAAAAAATAATGTGCTGCTGTTAGAGAGGCATTTTTGAGAAATTGATAAAAATCATTGACGGAACTAAAATCTTAACAGGTTTGAGTTGAAGTGATTCAGTGCTAGCGAGAGTAAGTGGTACAGTGGACATACCTATGCAGCTGAATTCGTCAACGAAAACATGATCTTTTGGACTAGAATCATCCAAGAAAGGATTGATTGAAGTCAAAGAATACCCGTGAATTTCATCGTAAACCATGCGTTGAACAGGATCACTGAGTACCTGCACTGTAACAGTCAATCTCTCTACCATGAAAACACAGGATAACTTTGTACATATTTTCTTCAACCTCAAACATAGATTTATTTCAAAATGAACCCACCTCATACACTTCATTAATGAAGATGCAAAAGTTCGTCGTCTCAGGATCATCGCCACTCAAGTCTGGATGGCAAGCTTTCATGCAGTTGTAGTAAGCCTTCTTAATCTGCTCCGGCGTGGCATCTGGAAGCTAATAAATTGTACGCACCAAAAATTACCAAATGATACCTCATTAAACAAACAGCATATCTACTCAGTTTAACAAACTGATTTGTCTATTTTTGCTACGCGCTTCGATATTCCACCTACAATGTTTAAGGAGAAAAACAGATCATGGATGAAATCAAGATCAAAAGTTTCACTTAGGCATGCATGTTTCCAGAGTTAAGTCCAGTGGAGTTTCATACTCCATATTTTCCCCATAACTCTAGTAGCATAGGATGCTTGATTCAAATGATCGCATATTATCGTTTTAGTATCTTAGTAAACATAAAATTACAACAAAACGCCACTGAGAAAAATACCAAAAAGAAAAAGAAACATAATAAATTGACGATCACAGCTTTTAATCATGTTACACAAAATTTTCCTTGGGATTGAATGATTTGAGTAGGAAGCAAACAGAGAGGGAAATCAGAGTCTGGGAGCAGACAAATTACCAGGCCAAGAACAGCATAATAGTCATCGGCAATAGAATCAGAGAGAGTACTAGAAGTGGAGTCCTCAGCGGCAACCTTAACCCTACCAAAACATCTTCTCTTTGCAGAATCATTCCCAAGCTTGCAATGACTGGAAGTCCTGGCGAGAAGCCGCCATGAAGATGGAGAACTCAGATTCAGCAGAGAATTGTGGATTTTGATAGCCTCAGTGTAAACGGGAGAAAGCAAATGAGCCATTCCGATTCGAAGTGGGAGAGACAAAGAGAAGCTTCCTCCCCTCGGCAAGCACAGAATCAAGAGATTTAAAGAAGAAGAAGAAGAACAAGAAGAAATGAAAAATTAGTTAATGAATTTTTTTTTTTTGAAAAATTTTATTTTTTCAATTTTCTGAGGAGGATGAATTTCTGGTGGGGAAATAAAAAAATGGGGGGAAATGCTGACATGGCAAATTTGTAGCCAGAATTGTTTCGGAATGTGAGAGATGAATCTGGGAGTGGAGACAACGAGGCAAAGTCCGTTTTACTTGAAACAGGCACGTGTCGTCACGTGCAAGTTTCCTAGTTGGCGCCTCCGCCGTTTTGGACAATTGCTTCAAGCAAGAGGCAGCACCGCAAGAGCTTCTCATCCTTGCGGCAACTGGCAACGTCTTGAAAATAGAATTAAAAAGTATTTACCCAAAAAAAAAAGAAAAGAAAATAGAATTAAAAAAATAAGGGAAAAAAAAGAATAACAAAAATGTCCAAAATTTTAAATTGAAAATTTCGCAATCAAGATGCTAAATCTGCATTTATTTCTAACTACAACGTTTTTTAAAAATTTGTTATAACTGTAAATGTTTGCTTTGAAAATTATTATCGTTTACCGAATAATTTGATTCGAATTCTGGGAAATTTTTATTATAATTTTTATCTTCAAAATAATTATAGCTTTTATTCTATGAATTCAAAATTTAAGTCCTCAAGTTTAATTTTACATGAATTTTAATTTAAATACTTTACGTAATATTTTTTAAATTAAAAATATATATTACCACACAAAAATTAATTTGGGAGTTGTTTGGGAAATGGAAAATGTGATCAGTTTTTCGTTTGGTGGGTGAAGTTTATTAAATTAAAAAATTTTCAAAACTTGAGATAACTTTGATGAAATAGAATGAGAGGCACCAATGATTTTGGCAGCATGCAATGAGTTTCGGGAAAAAGATGGATTATACTTACATCGTTGAAAATAAATCGAAAAAACCAAAAACGAAAAAAAGTGGCAACGACGATTTCTCATCTAATAAAATTATCTCTTTTTTTCAATGAAAATCAAAATTATCTCTTCCCCGATAAGGCCAATTTTGGACGCTACAAATTTTATTTCAACATGAATTGGATATCTTCTGGGTTATCTGTCCGTAGATTAATTTTGTTTCTTCAAAGACAAAAATAATAATTCCCGAAAAATATTGACATTTTTAGGACAAATATATTTTTGCCGCGTAGGAAGAAAGACATAGTAGGGGCTTGGGCCAATGACAGCAATTATTATTATTATTATTATTATTATTATTATATTATTATTATTATTATTATTTCTTTTGCCAATAATGACAGTAATTCTGTGAAGAGAAGAAACCAAAGAGAATTTGTTTCAGATCAACGGGCTAGAGTTTTCTCAAAAAGTGGCCAATCTTTCAAATTCTTATTAAAAGAGGAGCTAGCATTGAATACCTAACAATAGTTAAAACATGATTACTTTCAATAAGAAAATATTTGTACCTGGCAAAAAAGAAGAAGAGAAAAAAATTTGTTTCCTAGAATTGGAAACGTACCTTTATTCTAGATATGAATTTATGGTTAAGTAATACATGCTTCCTAAATTTTTAGTTAGGTTTATATATTAATCATACCAAGTTTTGAGTTTTACAGTGAATTCATCTAAATTTTATACTTATGCAAATGAATTCTCTTATCATTACTTTATCCGTTATCTTGTTAAAATAATAGAGTATGACTCAGGGTTAATATACAGATATCATAAAATTTAGTGAGTCATATTTACGCATAACTCAAAGTTTAAGAAAATTATTTATACTAAAATAAAGTTGGAAAGGTATTTGATCAGTAACATATTATATTTTTATTAGTAAAACAACAAAATGATTGATAATAGGAGATTTATTTATATAAATTAAAAATTTACGGGATTCCTTGTCAAATTTGAAAGGGAAATATCGTGGATTAATTCCTCAGTTCGAATGCTTCTGAAAGAACATTTTAAAAGAATGAGGAATCTGACTCGTAGCTTGCCACAAACACACACGTGCGTGTGTTTCATAAACAACATAAAATGAGTAACAAATATTACTTTGATCCTAATTATATGATCTCGTTTACAGTTTATAAACAAAGTCTTATAATTAGGACCGGAGGTACTACCTCGGGTCCTAATTATAAGAATTAGTTGACTAATTTGAAGAGATTAAGGAAGTAAGTTGAGTTAGTTATTTGTCCTAAATAGATGTTATCTTTCCTAAAATATCCTTGCTAATCAAGTGTATTAACTAGAACTATCATTATTAGAAGGGCTACTTTGGAGAAAAAAAATATAAATATGAGAGACAAAGTGGATTAGGGTCTTATATTTAAGATCAAAATAAAAGTCAAATAGGGTCTTATATTAAGAAACGGAGGTAGTAGTATTTTTCAAATAATCGTTAGGTACAGGGAAATCATAATACTTTCATTAATTGTTGAAAATACATGTCAACATATTTTAGGACAAGCAAATAATTCAAGATATGATCTTACATTAACATAGTGAAATTTTTAAGCAGTTGGATAAGAAGCATCCATGGCAATTCCACATAAACCTTCCGTAGCATTTATGTTCCTCTTCATCCTCACGTACCCTTCCTCGCCCCATTCAGTTCCCCATGAGTTCTTCACAATCCAATACTCAGTACCATTATCGGTAACACCATAACCAACCGCGGTTACACCATGATCCAGCTGTGTTCCACATTCTCCAGTAAAAACTCCGCTTGAATAAAACTGGAAGGAACCATCTCCGGCATCAATGGATACAGACACAGGCTGGTTGGCCACAGCTTTCTGAAGTGCTTCCTCACTGTTAACAGGAACTTTCTCATAACCCCTAATTTCTGCAACATGGGATGCTTCCTTGTTGATGTTACATTTTCCATCAGTTGCTGTGTAGGGGTAGTTTTCCTCAGTGGTAATCCCTCCATTTTTTATGATGAATTCAAATCCATCTTCCATGTAGCCACCCTCACAACCTTGGTCCACTCCTTTAGTGTCACAGTCCACAAGTTCTTGCTCTGAGAGGGACACTAATTTTCCCGTAGCTAACTGGTGAATCCCTTCTGTTGCTGCAACAGTTGAAAATGCCCAGCAACTTCCTGGTTTATGTAAACAAAAGTTGACAAATAAATGAACCAATGAGAAAAACAACAAAAGAATACAAATTAAAACAAGAATAAATCATGATCCTTTAATCTTACCACAATCGCCTTGATCCTTGACGGGAGTAACAGCTCCTTTTGTCTCCAATCCACAGAAGCAGGAAGAGCAGTAACATTCTCGTACCTAAACGATGTTCCTGTCAGGGACATGTGGGACCTCTTCAAACCATTACGAATGGCTTTGAATTCTTCATTGGTTTGATCTGCAAACTGGTTGATGCTGAGCTTGTAGGGTTTGGTGCCAGCAGAATTGAAGGACTCAATGAACTGAACATTGTTCTTGAATATCTCAAAGCGTGTTTCCTTCTCTGCAGCATCCTTGTACACTTTGCGATACTTGGCCATCCATTGCTCATGTCTTTCTGGTAAAGATGATTCTTGAAGCTTCCGGGATATTGCCGCAGAACTCCAGATTGTGAGAATGAGCAACAAAGTTAGAACATAGCGGTTTTGGCCGTCGGAAGCCATATATGAAGTGATTGAAATATTATTGGAGTATAGATGATAAGGTGAGAAGTTCTTGTTGGCAGTGGGGATGCAAAAGGGCAGTGAGAGGATGATTTATATAGAGATGATATTCTCTTCACAGTAAATATTTTAATGCCAACTTGCAAATTAAAAACAAAATGCAAATAAGATTCCCCCTTCTGGATTTTGAACAATGGTAATATTATACATTTATTTATTATTTCATTTTAAATTGTTAAACCCCCATGCCTGCCCTTGTTTTTCCCCCCACAGTGTGTCTTCCCTCCTTATTTTTGTCTTATAGCTATATGACTAGGTCAGATTCAAGTATTATTAGTTCCGAGTGGAGGTAGCTTTCTCAAAAGTATTTTTTGCATTTATATGAATACAAGTTTGGGAAAGACTTGCATGGATAAAAAATAAATAATTAAATTACACATGCATGGTCCCATTAATTTGATCAAATTATAACGATATCCTTTTTGATAAGATCAGAAGAACTACTTGCCAATCGTACAAGCTAGTTTACCTGAGGATACTTGTGACTAACTTTGCTCTATAAATAAATATTAGAAGTCAAAATTTTAACCACTTGTTTAAAATATCATAGCCCCTATTACTTACATCAACGATACAGTCGGAAAAAACGGATTGGCCCATTACTTCGCAAAAATTGATAAATACTAGAAAAGAGCACAAAGTTACATGTGTGTGTGTCACGTATCAAACACAGCCAACTAGCCAGATTTTTGTCGTGCATTACATGGAACATCTTGTACTTGACCAGGCAAATAATTAGTTTTGACGGAGCATAGGACTATGCACCGCATAGGTGTTCCGTTCGTCTCTAAGTTACGTGCTAAGATGCTTAATTTGATAGCTTTATGTGGTCAAAATTAAGGAACATAGACCATTAATGGATAGATAAATGTTCTGTTTGGACATGATTCTATATATTACAAGACAAAACAGAAGCTTAATTATCTAGCAATTAGGGGATCTCCGAGGTGCGTATGATACGGGGATCCTTATAATTTGGATTTCCAACCATCCTCTTCTTCGTCATTGGGCTACATATATCAACCATATTTCAAAAAAGAAAAAATCATCAAAAAAAACTGTCAAAATAGAAAAATTATAAATAAAGACCCATTACAACATTAGTACGTGTGTTTTGACAACAATAGTATGGGTTTTGTCAACAATTTTTATAAACAGGTTTTTGTGTGTAATTTTTCAATTTCGATGGTCTTTTTTTTTGTTATTTTTCTTAAAAAAACACATCACAATATATCAGAAA